ACAGAAGATTTGTATCAAGAAAATGAGTTATTTTCTCCTATGAATTAAAAAAAGAACACAAAAAAATTGTGAGTATTTAAAGAGAATGTCACAGAAGCAAGCACAATATATCTACCTCATGGTACTCAGAAATGCAAACACCACAATGAAATTACATTTTACCTTATTATGTTAGAAAAATCTTTTAAATGTTAACAATAAATTAATTTGGAAACCAGTTTAAGATTCTCCAGTAAAGTTAAGAATATATAAGCCTCACATCTCACTCCTAACACATGCACAAAGAAGGAAGTTCATGAATGTGTGTAATGACATCATTCTAATGAAAAAAAAACTTAAATGTCCATCAAGGGTCAAATGAGTGATAAAATCATGGTAGATTGTTATAAGGAGTTGCTGCACAACAGTGAGAATGATCAGACCCAACACTACAATACATCATGATGGCTGAATCTACAAAATCATAAGACATAAAGTAAGCCTCCGAAGAAAGCATACAGTATGATTCCATTTATATAAAATTTAAAATCAGAAAACACTGAAGAATATTTCATTTACTAATAAATACATAGATGGTAAAAGCTGTCAAGAAAGGGAATAATTAACACAAAATTCCATTTCCAGATAGCTGGTGGGATGGCAGAAAGAGGTTTCTGAGTTATTTTTTGGTAATACCCACTTCCTGGCCTGGAAGGTGTTTTCACAGTTAATTCATTTTAATTTTTTAAAACTTCGTGTGTACACTTTCATATACATATACATATTATGTACATTAAATGCATACTCTTTGAACATTTTTTTAAGGAAAAGCATAACCTTTACTTGAGACAGATTAACATGTGGCATGCTGAAATGTAAGAATGGGAATACATTTGACTGAAATGCCAGGAACACCAGCCTTCACTTGGGTTTATGACATTCCTTCTGGTACACGTCAAGTCTTACTACTTAGTTCTTTAGTGACTAGTATTTAATCGTATTGTATTGTAAACTCTATTATTGATTTGTGATTTTTCTAATTGGCCTACAGGAAATTCCAGAAATTAAATTATTAATTAAATTAATATTAATGAGGGTGACTCATTAGTAATTACTAAACAGAATATAAATATTTTAAATCTTGGCTATGTAAAAGGAAACGTATAGCTGTGCAGAGTTGTGTGCAGTGGAGGGAGGGAAGGCAGGAGGGAAGAATAGATGAGTGAATTTCCACATTTCACTTGGTATACAGGACAAGATACTGTCAGTAGTTGATTAACAAAGAAATAGAAGGTTAGGTTATAAATAACCACTAGAGGCACTAAAAGTGATAATAGAACTAGTAAGAATTGTAAGCAGAAATGGTAGTATATTAAGTACCTTATCTCTCAACTTTGATAATGGAAATCATTACCAGTCTAAAGTTACTACATCTAGAAACAAGTATATCACTTAGCTTAGTGGTTGAAGGGCTAACAGAACTGGGGGAAAAAAAAAAAAAAGGCTAGCAAAGTCAATACCGTGAACGTGGATTACTTTCATTATAAAGAAAAGTCATAGAGGCGCCCGGGTGGCTCAGTCGGTTAAGCATCTGACTCCGGCTCAGGTCATGATCTCACAGTTCATGGGTTGGATACCCGTGTAAAGCTCTGCAGTACCAGCATGGAGATTCTTGGGATTCCTGCTCTCTCCTCTCTCTCTGCCCCTCCCTGCCTGCAGTTTCTGTCTCTCTTAAAATAAATAAACTTTAAAAAAAAAAAGCCATAGTACAGCAACTTTCCTCTGCAGCAGAACACAGCCTAAGGCAGGTATATTTTTATTCCCTTTTCAACAGTCTGTAGTCCACCTTGTAGCACAGTTGATGGAGAGTGTGTACTCCAGGAGTGCCATCATGTTACATGTTTAAAGGGCATGAATTAGGTATCATTTATCTTTATCCTTGCCAGAATGCCAAATGTTTGAGTCCTCAATGCACTTATTGGATTAAAAGTATAGCTATTGTAAGTTTTTTAAGTGGCCTATTGAGACCATCAGCTGTTTCATACCTCAAACTGTATATTCATCTCACTGTTGAGTGCACCTTTCTCCTCTTCCTCCACTGTAGCAGGGATTCTGTATTCATGACAGGTCATGAGACAGAAGACATTTATTAAGCATGTAGTATGTGTTAAGTACTGTGTAAGGCTCAAGTAGACAAATATGGAGCATCAAACTGAAAGTATGCATATAATATGCATATATACATACCTATGCATTTAAAGGTGTATGCAGATATATATTTCCTAGGACTCATTTTTTGTGCCATCTTCCTCTCTGTAATTCTATTTCCACATGCAAAATAACCACACTGCTCCGGGCCGTTCTTTTATGTACAGCTTCTTAACGATCAATACAGAGATCAGTATAGTATCTATCATGAAAACAGCTGGAATAACCAGGGTGACCCCAAAAAGTCTTCTTTGGTGGCTGCAGGAAAACATCTCCTGAGCACCCAACAAAGAATTTTTTTGCTGAGAATTTTCTAGTATACATTTATTATTTTCCCTTGGGTCCTGAAAAGGAAACTATGATTCTTAATGGGCTTATGCACCTAAACATTTCAAGTTGACTTCAGAAATTGCATCACCTAAAATTTCAAGATGTTGAGAATTTTATGTTTCATTCTTTGTGAAAGGCAAACACAGCTTTAATCCCTGTCTCCGTTCTGAGCTCACTTCTCCCCCAGAAAGGTGAATTCATTATCAGCACTGAAGTCGCTGAAAATACTCTCTCTAGGACCATCCGTAAATGCCCCGTTTGGCCCCATTGTATCCTTCCTATTCTGTTTTCCCTGTTGCCACAACATAAGTGCTGCTAAGAGCAGAGATCATCAGCTGCAGCTTTGTCCCTGCGCTGATCCGGCCCATAATTCCTGTGGCCTCCAGATCCCATGTGCACTAAGGCCTGTACCCTCTCAGCCTGCAGGTTACCTGACTGCATTGTTGATCAAGGTAAAACATACTTATTCTAACATCCAAATAATTGTCTCTGTTTATAGTATTGATTTCCTGGGTTTTTGACAGAAGTTGTTTAGCAATGTTTACTCTTGCCTGCTGCTCTTGAACCTGCTGTTTTACATTCGTGATTAAGATTGTATGTGGGGTTATTACTGGTGGCTCTGAACTTGGGAAAGTAACCAGTTTTCCCAAATTAAAGGGAAAATGTATAAATATGTTTGAGAAATCAAACGTCCGTTTAGGTTTGTCTTACATAACGCAGGTGTTACCACTCTTATTTTGGCATTCTGGAAGGAAGCATGGTTACTTAGTGGAAAAATGATCCTGGAAAGAACTAAATTAGGTTATTTTCTAGCACTAGAACCAGTTGATGAGGACTTACATGTCTCCTATATAAGTGCACCACAGACTGGCCTGGAAGACAAAAATATAGTATCGAACTATGAGCTTGAAAACAAGTTTGTTAATTTGCTGCCTCTACTTTTATTTCAAAATGGGTTCCTTTATACCGGGGCTTTGTCTAATCAGTGTTTGTTATCAAGGCACTTAAATCAGTTTTGTGGCTTTTTAACAAAGTGACTATCCGTCATGGTTTTTCTGGCACTCTGTAGAAATATTAACCCAGAGTTATGTCTGAGTTAGATGTGTGAACTATATATATAACTGTGCCTTTTTTTCTTCACAACTGTTTAATTTTCTGTAAAAAAAAAAAAAAGAAATTGTAAACTTTACTTTTTTTAAGTTTATTTATTTTGAGAGAGAAAAACAATGGGGGGGGGGGGAGCAGGGACAGAGAAAGACAGACAGAGGATCCAAAGTTGGCTTCACGCTGACAGCACAGAGCCCAACACAGTGCTTGAACTCACAAACCATGAGATCATGACTTGAGCCGAAGTCAGATGCTTAACTGACTGAGCCACCCAGGTGCCCCTGTAAAGTTTACTTTTGAGTTCAGTTTGGATGATATCTTTGGAAAGTGTTCATTGTGTAATTTAAGGGGTCATTCCTGAGACTAGGTGACCACAAGCTAATATCACCTGCTGACAAAGGGGTCTCATATGGTGCCACTGGCCTAAAGTTCTACAAGATGTTTAGGCCTGACTTGAAAGAATGAAGCAAAAGCAAGTTGCTACCATCAGGCCCATTTCTTACCACTCACAACCTTCTCTAGGCTTTACTCAACTATTAGCACCACACAGCCATCATAACCCTAGCCAACTCACACTTGCAATCATGACCCTTCTCTTTCCTTCCCCTAGCCTCAGGGAAATAAAAAGAAGCACCTTACAAAATGAGAATGCATGGTTCAAACCCTCAGTGGCCAAGGATCTAAGAATTACAGTATGTCTATTGCTAGAAGAATTTTCCCTTTAAAACTACAAAAAGTGAACTGGTTCCAGACTCCCTTAATTAAAACCTATTAAGTGTTTGATGACCACAAACCACAGAAACATTTCTTTAGCTAGACTTTCAGATGGTCTGGAAGGATTTCTGGTTTATGTCATATTCTGCATTAAGTCAGGGTCCCCAAAAGCTACCACCAGGGCTCTCAGTGGGGAGATCTTGGGGATCTTGTAATCTATCAGTGTTCTGTAAGGTTCTCTCTTCCACCTTCTTATGGAATCTGACCTGGTTGTGTTAGCAAAAGGGATCAAAGATCAAAATACTTTGCATGTTAGAATGGTAATGGAGTTTATTTTCTTAAATTTTCTGTAAAATGAAGTGGAAGGAAACAGGTTCCATCTGTAAGATATTCATCTTTTGGCAAGGTCTCCACTCTGAACCTCTGGTTGTTTGCAAACAGCTCCTTAGTACCTACTCACAGATCCATGCCTGGGTAATTGTAATACATAGAAGAAATTACTTGCAAATCCAGTTCTCAGACAATAAAAAGATGTTTTAACAGCCTCCTGCTGCACATTTTGAAAGATTTTTAATAGGAGCATGGAAATATATTTAATCTATCTTAAATCTTAAAAACCGTAAGACTCACATGTTGATATTATTTTCTGCTTCCTTTTTAAGAGAAAGGTGATGCTGAGCCAGAGAGTCCTGACAATGGCACATCGAATACATCGTAAGTCTTCCTGTTTCTATGTATATAATATGCCTCTAGTATGAAACAGTGCAAGAATCTCATAAGAGTAATAATAGTAATGGAAGGGAGCCTGTGGTTCTCTTTCTCATGATGATGTCTCTTTCAGTTCTTTTGGGTTCAGGCGTATTTTGAGGTCTTTCTTATGCTTTAGCACGGTAAGAGTAATCTTAAAAATGGAAGTACTCCTCCTTATAAAATAGAAATGTAATAAGATTTCAGGGTGTGTATCATTGGAGAGAAAGGAGGCAAACCCTTTAGAATTTGGTTGGAGATTTTCAGCACTGTCCTAAATAACTGTGTGACTTTTCACACATACTGGGAGATATTCTGTCGTACACACCTGTGAAGTACCAATATCATTTTAAAAGCCTCACCTCTGAATTATGTGAAAAATACGATGATGAATATCTCTGGAATCTCAAATTTGTTATGTTTTTGAATTTACAAATGCAGTTATAAAAACGTAAGAAAAAGCACGTAGAAGGCATGTGTTCCTCACTCTCTATTTTTGTCTTTTTCCTCTCAGTACTCAAAGAATCCAAATGTATTTTAATGATTAATTTGATATCAAATTTATATCCCAAAGTTTAAATAAAATAATTCACAAGCTAACAAATTACTTTAGCTTCACAGGAATCAGTGAAGAATCTTAAGATTCTTTATTTTTATCCCTCTGAGGGGCAAGATAAGTTTTCTCATTATAAGACAGCTTTGTGAATTTATCTGTGTGTGAGCCAGTGCTCATATTACTCAGCATCTAAGATGCTATTTATTAGAAATCACATCTTGTGGTATAATATTATTAAATGTCTTATTTTGTCCAAGATCTGTTTCTCATTCTAGGAAAATCCTTTGGTGTGTATAGGAGGGCTATATATTTCAGAAAGGATATAATTATATGTTTGTCTTTCTTAAAATATTACCCTAAAAGTTCAAAATGGTTCTACTATCATAATTTCTGATAACATAATGAATGTAACTAGTCTTAAGTGGTTAAAATAGTACTAATTTTTAAGTGTTTGCACTGCAAAATATGATGGGAAAAGAGTTTTAATGCCATCTGGAGGCATTCTAGAGAACTGAAAAGGATAGAATCATTTCAAAATTTGGTTCTTATGAATAATATTTGAAACTGGATAAGAATCAATACAACTAGAAGCTATTTGGGAATAAGCTCTATAATTTTATAAAAATGTGTATTATTGTAGAAACAACAATTTTTCAAATGCTCATTAACAAAATCATTTAAAAAACAACACAACATATAAAATGTTTTGAAAAACTGCTAACATCCCACATTTAATTTTATAAATTTTAAAATTGCACTTAATACACACCCCAGTTTTGTTAATGCAATTTGATGTGTCATTAGTTCTTCTCTTATGCTTTCTAAAAAGCCTATTCTCTAAAAAAAAAAAAAATTGGTTTCCATATGTTAGTTTCTTATTAAATATGTTGTTTGAGGAATTCTTTTAAACCCTCTGTAGATGCCAGAATGGTAAAAGCTTGAAGCATCACCCCACATTCATCATCTACCTCACATCTGCCTCTTGAACTAGAAATAGCAAAAGGAAATCTTAGGTTGAAAGGGTTTCTCTTTAAAAAGTGGAGATTCCTGAACTTGAACTCTTCAACCGGTTCTCTCGTAATTGGGCAAAAGGAAGAACATATTATGAACAAAGAGCAATGACTCAGGATGCCTGAGATTTGTGTAGCATTTTATATTCTCTGTGTAGTACCTTATTTCAGCTTTACTTAGATAGACAGGTAGGGCAAGAACAATATTCTTATTTTATATACAAGGAATCTAGGATCAGAAAAGTCATTTGACGCAAGTGAAAAAATTAAGACACAAATCAGTTATTTTGCTTTTTTGCCCAAGTATCGAACTGAAGGGGGAGTAGATCTTAGGAGACAAAGGAAAGTCTTGAGTCAGAATCAAGTTGAAAAACTGTGATCAGATTATTTAAGTGGTACGTGTATTAGGTTGCTAGGGTTACCAAAACAAAGTACCACAGACTGGGCACCTTAAACAACAGAAATTTGTGTCTCATAGTTCTGCAGACTGGAAGTCTAAGATTAGTCAGTAGGGTTGGTTTCTCCTGTGAAGAAAGTATGTTATCCCAGGCCTTGTTCTTTGTTTTACAGATGGCCATACTCCCCGTGTTTCTTCACATAATCTTCTTTCTGTGTATGTCTCTGTGTCCAAATGTCCCCTTTTTATAAAAATACCAGTTATATTTGATTAGGGCCCACCCTAATGGCTTTGTGGTTACTTTAATACCCTTATAAAGACCTTGTCTCCATATAAGGTTACACTCTGAAGTATTGGAGTCCAGAACTTCAACATATAAATTTTGTGGGGAAACAGTTCAACCCCGTAACGTTAAGGTTCAGAACAACCAGAAGGATACAGAAGTCAGGTCAGGAGAATGGGGAATCTATAAATGCCAGGAGATGAAGCAAGGTGAAAAAAAACCCAAGTAAAACAGACTAACAGTAATGAGCTCCATGGTTGCTGAAGGAGTGAAGAAGGAAAGCAAAGAAAAGTATAGATAACATACACACAAAAACATGGGAAAAGATAAATCTTTCACAGTCATGGTTTAGTGAGACAAACTCAGCTTCAGTAATGCTTATACATTCATCTGTCTGTATAATTTACTGACCCTGTAATGAAGCCATTATATGGGTTTAAATTATAACATTTAATTGGGAGTGTCCTGACAGGGAGCCCATTTCCTGAAGAAGCATCTTTCTTCCTCTGCCTCTCTTAAAAGCAAGAAATCAGCATTATTTACAATGGCCAAGACACGGAAACAAACTAAGTGATCACTAATGGATGAACTGATAAGGAAAATGTGATGTACACACACACACACTAGAATATTATTTGACCATAAAAAAGGAAGGAAATCCTGCCATTTTCAACAAAAGGGATGGACCTTGAAGGCATTACACTAAGTGAAATTAAGTCAGACAGAGAAAGACAAATGCCATATGATCTCATATATACGTGGAATCTTAAAAAAAAAAAAAAAACAGGTTAACAGAATGGTGGTTGCCAGAGATATGGGCTGGGGGAGTGAGGAATGAGCAAAATGAGAGAAGGTGGTTAAAACGTACAAATTTCCAGTTGTATAAGAAATAAACAATGTACAGCATGATGACTATGGTTGATAGCACTCTATTCTATATTTGAAAGTTGCTAAAACAATAGATCTTAAAAGTTCTCAAACCAAGAAAAAAAATTATAACTATGTGTGGTTCTGGATGTTAACTAGACATTGTGGTGATCATTTCACAATGTATACATATAGGTGACCCCTGAATAACACAGGTTTGTGTTGCACGGATCTGCTTATATGTGGGGTTTTTTTTCAATAAATACAGTATAGTACTATAAATGTAATTTTTCTTCCTTATTATTTTCCCAACATTTTCTTTTTTCTAGCTTACTTTATTGTAAAAATATAGTATATGATGCATGTAACATACAATATATGTGTTACTTGACTGTTCATGCTATCAGTAAGGCTTCCAATCAGTAGTACACTATTAGTAGTTAAGTTTCGGGGGAGTCAAAAGTTATATGTGGATTTTTGACTGCACATGGGTTGGGGCATCAACCACATTGTTCTGGGGTCAACAGTATGCAAATCATTATGCTGTACACCTGAAACTAATAAGTAAATAAAAGCAGGAGATTGATCATAAGTTTTAGATAGTCATTGCCTGGTAGGACAGAGTAGTCTGGATAATACATGAGGATTCCCTCAGAATGTATTATTTAATTATCTTATGAATATTTGTAAAGACGAAAGGTATAATTTATTCTTAACACACATTCACACACACACAACCTATAAGTTAATATTTCTGTGAGAGAAATTTATGTCAATAAATTATATCAATAACTGGGGCACCTGGGTGGCTCAGTTGGTTAAGCATCTGTCTTCGGTTCAGGTCGTGATCTCACAGTTGGTGGGTTCAAGCCCCACATTGGGCTCTCGGCTGACAGCTCAGAGCCTGGAGCCTGCTTCAGATTCTGTGTCTCCCTCTCTCTCTCTCTGCCCCTCCTCTGCTCATGCTCTGTCTATGTCTCAAAAATGAATAAACATTAAAAACAATTTAAATTATGTAAATAATGGAAGAGATTATATTGGATTACCTCTCCTGTGGATAATTGTTATAAACTCTGGACAAAATATTTTTTTAACTATCTGAAGGTATAGATGCTGACTGAAAGAAGGCAGGCAATGTTGGAAATTTGTTCCTTGAAAGAAGGAAATTGGACTGAGTGAATTGGACTGGGTGAGATATGCATTTATACAGCTTCTCCCTGAGGGTTCTTTCAATGTACAAAAAGCAACTAGAATTCAAGGAGAAAGCCACAGTCATATTTGCCCGAAGTGTCAGAAAATGGAGTTCAGTGCTGCCAGAGTGGATGGGCTTAAAGGGGGGAAATTCCAGAAAGCAAAGAAACCTCAGAGGGTATATGCCTTCATAAAAGATTAATCTTAAAACTAAAGACAAAACCAAAATGGATCATAGCAAAATGTAACACTAAGTTACCCACAAGTTTCAGGCGATCAGCTAAGAATATGTCTGATAGAACAAAAAAAGTCAACATTATTTAAAGAAAGAAAACAGACTCTAGAGTCTCTATAATATATCATTGACAACATTTATTGTCTAACCAAAAGATAAAAGATATGCAAAGAAATAGGAAAATGTGATCCAGAATCAAGAGAAGACATTGTCTATAGTAGACCTTGAGATTACCTAGGTGTTGGAATTTTCAGATAAGAACTTTCAAGAGTCTATTATAATAGGTTCAAAGATGTAAAGGAAAAAAACATTTTCATAATGACCAAAAGAAGAGAAATGGAAGCAATAAATGGAAATAGAAGTAATAAAGAAAGACCAAATAAAAATTCTGGAACTGAAAAGAACAATATTTGAAATGAAAATTTCAC